TCGTAAGACAACTTACAAATATATATATATATATATATATATATATATATATATATATTTTTTTTGTAAGCATCAAAATAAATTGTTGTCAATTACATTTATTTTAAAGGTTAAATACATAATTAATTCTTTGAGAATAAACATCTGTAATTAATTAAAATATGTCAACAAGTGAAATCGTGTAATAACAAAATTCGCATATCACACCTTTTGGGTTGCAACAAAATGTTGCATATTTTATGCAAAATAGACGGGCACATAAATCGTCTTTAATGTTGCAATTCAAACCGGTTTTGTTTGGTATGTAAATAATTAGTACTCTTATGTGTCATCTATCTATGATGATAAGTTTTTTTTAGAAAGTATTGGACCGAGTGAAGATGATAAATAATTCTTTAACGGGAAATTAATAAAATATGATGTAAATCAACGAGTTATCTAATCTTACTCGTCTATATACATACATGCTAAAAAGGTTTTATAGGAATTAATTATACCATTGCTAGAAAAGTACCAAAAACGTTACTAATTTAAATACATTTTTACAGGTTAAGAATGTATCTTACTTTACCCGTTTGATTAAAAAACAGTTGGGTAAAAAAACTGAGCAATCTTACAAGATTATGAAAACAACCGGCGATGTAACATAGTATGTAGTTTTAACCTTTTTGGTTAAAACCCAATCGGATGAAAAACGAAGTAATCTTACATGCATTCTAAGTATGTGGTAACATAGTATATACAATATTGTATGCGGTAGTAAGTACACACTTAGGATAAAAAAATGTAAGTAATTTTACCTAGTTATGGGTAGGGGTGTTCGGTTGTTATGGAAGATTTAACCCTAAATCATAAACCAAACTGTAAGGGTGACTAGACCACCAAATGTTGGTCTTAACAAAAAGTTTCCCATATTTCCAGGTGTGGCCGACCAATTTTGGTGGCTTGGAATTATAATGACCCATAAGGTGGCGTTTGGTTCGCATAATGTTTTTGGATGAAATGAAATCTGTCAACAGAATTTGACTTTGAAGGAATTGGAATGGAATGTTGTCAGGTTTGACCATCTGTTTGGTTGGCAGACTTTGGAATGAAATCTGTTAAGGAATTGAAATCTTTCTGTTTCGTTCACAAAATGTAGCTTTAGAATTGGAATAAATTTTTTGTAAATGACCAAAATGCCCTTTTTTGGAAATTTTATTTTTTTAAAACTAAAAGTACTTCAATAAAATTATTATTTAATATTATATAAAATACACAACCCAAATATAATCATAAGCTAAACGACGTTACTAAATCGACGGTGGTCGGCGGTGGTTCAGATCGGCGGTGGTCCATAGTGGTTCAGATCGGCGGTGGTCCGTAGTGATTCAAATCGATGGTGGTCCGCAGTGGTTCACATGGAGGTGGTCAGCGGTGGTCGACGGTGTTTCAGATCGGTGGTAGTCGATGGTGGTGGTCGACGGTGTTTCAGATCGGTGGTAGTCGATGGTGGTGGTCGACGGTGGTTCAGATCGGTGGTAGTTGGCGGTGGTGGTCAGCGTGGTTTAGATCGGTGGTGGTCCATGGTGGTTCAAATGGCGGTTATCGGCGGTGATTCAGATTGACGGTGAATCAGATCAGCGGT